GGAGAACTTCCCAACCCAACTCCATGATATTGTGTTCCGTCAAATGTGCCACATGTGGACATGCATTGTCGTGGAGAAGAAGAACACCTTTCCGATTGACAAGTGAAGGGCATTTCTGATAAAGAGCTTGATTTAAACATTCCAATTACTAACTACATATCTTTGCATTGACAATTTGCTGTGGGGTGAGGAGTTCGAAATGAATCACCCCTTTGATGTCCCACCAAATGCAAAGCATCACTTTATGCTGATGGAGTCCAGATTTTGGGATTGGAAGTGTTTTTTGTCTAAGACTGAGCCATTGTTTTTGGCATTTAATCTTTGCATAGAGAATCCACTTTTCATCACCAGTGACAATTCTGTCCAAAAATGGTTCACGTGCATTACACGCTAGAAGAGACGAAGCAACGTTTACACATTGGAAACGATGATCATCAGAGAGTTCGTGAGGCACCCAAACACCTTCTATATGGAGTTTTCCAATATTCCTTAGATGTTTACATATTGTTTCATGAAAGACGTGCAATTTCAGAGCCATTTCACAAGTGTGTTGCCTTGGTTTAGACTCAACAAGTGTCTTCTGAACATCAATATCAATTCCAACATGTCGGCCCCTGCCATCACAGTTTTTAAGGCTAAAGTCATCTGAACGAAATTTGCTGAACCATCAGTGGCACTTATGAACATTCAAAACACTTCCATTAAAATTTCTTTGATATTCTTTGTGGCCACAGAGGCGTTGTTTCTTTTCTTGTATTCAAACAGCATTACATGCCAAATGTGTGTGCCATCACTATAAGGGATTAGATTATACTAAAGTTTACACATTATATAGGCTATACTAACATGACATTTAGGTGGTTTGTTTAACTATTATATGTGATGTATGTTCTTTGGGGAATGGTTAATGAAAGTGTTCCAAAATGCGACATTAATTTCTTGACGACCTAATAATTGGGTTTGAAGACCCATCCTTCAAATATGGTCTCCTTGGTATCTTTCAACTGTTGATTCATCACAGTCTTGGTTGGAACGGCTAGGTTTCCCACATCTATAACTTACCTCTTTCTGATATTCTTTGGGAAGAGCGCTTATTCCTTACAAGCTTTTGTCTGCATTTCTTGGTGAGATGTCCTTTTAAGTTACATTTGAAACTCTTACTGTTTTGTAGCTAATTCTGTCTCAGTAGCTGTCTAACTACACCTTTTAGTTCATCTAAACTCTGGTCAGCAGGAGTTGATGTTTCAACACTATTTGATCTGACAATCTTGTAACTTTATCTGTAACTTTAATAGATTCCATTGCTAACTACAAATCTTCCTTTAAGGATGTACACCTACTTCAGCCTAATTTTTATATTCTATGGTGCTTATAAATTGGTCACATTCCAATGAATTTATTATTTTACAAGGATTGTCTGAGAAATACAATTGGCCAAGTATTTCCAGCTCTTCTGTAAGCTCAGCTAAGGTCTTTTCTCTGTACTCCATTCTGGAACTTTGCTCTGGATACTTTTTTCTTATTCTACACTCCTAACCAGATGGATAAGGTGACTTGTTATCTGTTATGGCTCTCAGCTGGAAGATTACTTAATGTTGTCAAAGTTGGTTCTTTTAAATGGGCAGAAAGATAAGTAACTTTGTTCACTATTCACCCATTCCTTGTGGAAATTATTTGAAACTGAACTTGGTATGACTTTCATGGTATCTTCCCATCATAGTCTGTTGTTTTCTTGATTGGCTGATGCTATACTGGTCATCTATATTCTGGATCTGGTAGTTCAGGAAGGTCCTTCAGAAACAGGTGGTAAAGTAGTAATGGTAATAGGTGTAAACCAAATAAGTTCTCCTTTTCCATATCTGGTAGTAGATAGTGTTTTTGGTTGGAACTCTTAAGCTGATACAGAAAAAGGTGTGGTTGATTTAATATTTGCATATAATAATTCATTTGCCAAATGCCTTATTCTGTCACCTGTGTTTTTTTCTTCGTTAATGGTGCTCTTTTTTTTACCTCAGTGATGTCTTTTTCGTACTTGATGTCCTTCTACATTTCTTCAAACTTGTTGATATAATAATTTTTTCATCCCCTATAGCATCACCAATCTTGT